GGTCAAGATGAAGTCCAAATGCTGGATCCCTGAGCATCCTGGGACCATGGTGTTTACTTGTAGCTTTAGCAATGATACCATGAGATTCCTTGCCCCTTAGACAATAGCAAACCCACATTTTTAATTAAATGAATTTTTTTAAGTTTAGCTCCTCTAAGTAGACCCCCACACACATATATATGCTTTACTAGTTATTACTGAGAATGACTAAGTATTATAATTGAGCTGAAAATAATCTCCCGCCCATACTTGCTGGGTTGGTTACTAAGTATTGCCTGGGTTTTTGAGTAATGAAGTTGTGCTCCTTCCAAATGTTAATTTTGAGGACTGCAGATGCTAACCATCTGTTCCATGACTAGCATTTTACAATATTTGATTAGCACTTTATATAGCTTGGGGAAGACTGCCATTGGAGTATGTCCATCAGATTGGGGACACTGCTGGTGGGGTGTCCTTGAGGTATGGCCCCATTGTCAGGGGCTTCTCTCTGTTTGGTGGGCTGAAGGGTGGCTAGTCAGACTGCCAAGTTGCTGATTTATTGAAGAAAGACCTGAAAGAGTTTTATTTCTGCTTACAAGCCTCCTTAGAGCTGGATCCACCAGAGCTTATCATGGAAGTAGAATTTGGCAGGTCAGGGTCTGTCTGTGAGTTAGGACTCCTGGTTGCAAGTGACAAAACCGCACTGCCTTGGCAAAAAGGAATTAATGACCCAGATCATTGAACGGTGTATGCATGGGGCTGCCTTCCCAGGTAGAGTTTTAGGGCTTAGACAAACTCCCTTCCCCCAATTGCTAGTGTCTGATAAGGTGGAAATGTGTCACAAACAAAAAAGGGTTTGTTGTGGGTTTTGGTTTGTTTATTTCAAATTTTGGAATAGTCCTTTGAAATACCTACATATATTTCTACTCCATTTGTGTGTGTATTTGGTGGAGGGTCAGTAATTTCTGTCCTTTGCAATTCATCCTGTATTTTCTGTAAGATGTCAAGTGCCATTGACTACGACTCATGGTGACTCTAAGCAACAAATCTGAACCTTGCCCTATCCTGACCATCTTTATGATTTCCAACACGTTCGTGCCCACTGTTACAGTCACTGTGTAAGTCCCTCTTGTTGGGGATCTTCCTCTCTTTTTCTCACCCTCCGCCTTTCCTAGCGTGATGTCCTTTTCCAACGACTTGCCCCTCTTGACAACATGCCCAAAATATGTGAGATGAAGTTTCATCATCCTTGCCTCCAAGAAACACCCTGGTTGCACTTCCTCCAAGATACACTTGTTTGTTCTGTTGTCAGTCCATGGGGAATTCAGTACTCTGCTCCAGCACCTCAGTTCAGAGATAGAGTTTCATCTTCTGTCATCCTTATTAATCGTCCAACTTTCAGATGCATAGGAAGCAACTGAAAATACTATGATTTGGATCAGGCACTTCTTAGTTATTAAACAGACTTCCTTACTCTTTATCACTTTGGAGAAGTCCTCGATAGCAAGTTTCATCATGAAGCACATCCTTTTCTTTTCTTTTTTTTTTTTTGTGTGTGTGTGTACCGTCAAATCAGATCTGATTGGTACAGGAGGAGATTGTTCCTCCTTCTTCAGCAGAGCTTTTGGTGGATTCGAACCATGTACCTCTGAGATTGCAATGCAGCTTCTTGCCACTAGGCCACCAGAGCTCCCTGCATCTTTTGATTTCTTAACTACCGCCACCATGGATGTTGATTGTGGATCCATGTAAAATGAAATCATTGACAACTTCAGTCTTTTTCCATCTATTGTGATGGTCCAGTGGTAAGGATTTGTGTTTCCTTGCTGTTAAGATGTGCTTCACATTGGATGCTGTAGTCTTTGATTTTTCTGCAGCAAGTGTTTCAAGTCCTCTTGACTTTAGTAAGCAAGATTGTGTCCTCTGCATATAGCAGGTTATTGATGAGTCTTCCTCCAGTCCTGATGTCTTGTTCTTCATATAGTCCAGCTTCTCTAATTATTTACTCAGTATGCAGATTGAATTTCCCCAAATGAACTCTAGACTTTGTTTCTCTTGAGGTCACAGCTCTGCCTCCTGCCATGTGACTGACTTCAATCTCAGGTTTCCCCAGTCCCACAGCCATTAACCCGATTCAGGGTCATAGCTACCCTATAACAGAGCAGAACATCTCCACTGGGTTTCCAAAGCTGTAAATTTTTTGATTATTATTTTTAATTTTAATGAAAATTTACAGTGACTTTGGATTTCCATTCATTCATTGTTGCACTTTTCTCCCTGCCCATCCCATCCTTTCCCCCTCCCCTAGTCGTTGTTCTCCTTGAAAAGTAAAAGAAAAATTCTTTCATTGCTTTACAGTCCTTCCTCCCAAGTCCACTCCACTATGCAGCCTTCGTTCTGGACCAAGGCTGTAAATTTTTACAAATGCAAACTGCCTCATTTTCTCCCTGTGTGTGTGTGTGTGTGGGCAGGGGTGGGGGGGTGGGGGCGGGTAGTGGATTCAAACCACAGACCTATTAGCCAAATGCTTAATCCATCACACCATCAGGGCTTCCATTTTAGGCCTCAAGAGGATGCCAAATGACTTCCCCCAAAATGCAGATCCTCTCTGTTTCATGTCTAATGGGAGCTGGATGGAGTCTTTTCCAGTCATGCCTGCAGAGTTGAGACGCTCTCTGATGGTCATGTGTCCATCCTTGATCCAATCCCTGTGATGATGTAGATACAGGACTCTGATTGGTCAGGAATGAGGTGGAGTCTTGCCTATACCTCCTGACTGACAAGTTGAATCTCCTGGTGCAAAGCCAGACCTGTAACCACAAGAGAGAATGGATAGCTGGGGTAGAAAGCAAAGCAGCCAGACCTGCGAGGTGTCAGAGGAAGAGCTTGGAGAATCAGGAGGAGACTTGTGGGGATGGTTTCTACACATATGTCAACACTTGTCACAGTGTGCATTTTAACTATGCGCACTTGCTTACATGTTGATTATATGCCAACTATCCCTCAGTACTTTGCCATAACTTGCTATGCATCAGAGAGCTGGGCAATGACTAGGGATGATAGAAGAAGAGTTGATGCCTTTGAGCTTTGGTGTTAGACAAGAGTATTGAATATACCATGGCCTGCTAGAACAAACAAGTTCGTCTTGGAGAGAGTGAAGCCAGGCTGCTCCTTGGAGGCAAGGATTCTGAAGCTCTGTCTAACATACTTTGGACATGTTGCAAGGCGGGATCAGTCCTTGGAGAGTGGCATCATGTTTGGGAGGGTAGAGGGACAGTGCAGGAGAGGAAGACCCTCGATGAGATGGATTGAATCCATCACCGGAGTAATGGGGATAGGTGTGTCAGAGACAATAAGGTTGGCAAGAGATAGAGCAGGGTTTACGGCTGTTGAACATAGGGTCGTTATGAGTCGCAAGCAACTTGGTGGCACATAACAACAACAACAACAACAAGAACAACATCCCTCAGTAAAAGGAGCCCTGGTGGTGTTGTAAGCAATGTCCTTGGCTGCTGATGGTCGACAGTTCAAATCCACCAATTTTTTCTTTGGTAGAAAGTTGGACGGTCTTCTACTGTAAAGATTTATAGCCTCAGAATCTCACTGGAGGGTTGCTGTGCATTGGACTCAACTTGATAGAGGTGTGTGGGTGATGCTTTTGGCCTCTAACCAAAAGGCCAGCAGTCTGAGCCCACCAGCCTCTGTGGGAGTGAAACGAGGTAACCTGCATGCCAGGGTCACCAGGAGTCAGAACTAACTTGATGGCATTGCATAGTGGGTGGAGTGGTGCACTGGTTAAATGCTGGGCTGCTAACTGAAGGTTGATGGTTCGAACTCTCCTGCAGCTCCTGTAATTATTGCAGCCTGGGAAAGGACTCCCAGCGACCCCGTGAGCAACAGATCTGAAGCCTGTCCTGTCCTGTCCTCATCATCTCTGACTCTCTTGAACTCATTGCTGTAGTGATTGTGTCAATCCATCTCATTGAGAGTCTTCCTCTCTTCCTGTTTCTCTTTAGAACTCTCTCTTGTTGCCATTGAGTCAGAACTGACTCATAGCTGACCCTTCAGTGGGTTTTGGGAGCTCTGGTGATCTAGTGGTAAGAGCCTACGCTGCCATCCCGAAGGCATACAGTTAGAATCCACTAGCTGCTCTCCATGGGAGAAGGATGGGTAATCTCCTCCTTGGCGATTAACTGCCTCTGAAAATCTGCTAAAGGGTCAGTTATGAGTTGCTTCCAATTTGAAGGTAAGCAATAACAAAACTCGCACAAGAGGAGATTGTCCATCCTTCTCCTGTGGAGCAGCTAGTGGACTTGAACTGTGTGCCTTTAGGATTGCAGCATAGCTTCTTACCACTAGGCCACCAGAGCTCCTTACTTAGACATTAGACGTGGTTAGGAATATGAGTCAGAGCTGACTTGATGGCAACTAACAACAACAACAACAACAACAGTCTTATAGGTTGTTTGGATTAAATGTGTTACATATAAAGTGAATAAACAGTGAAATAACATTCTTATTAAAAAATGAAAATGTGTGCCCAGATCTTGCGCACCACAGCATCATCTGTGTGCAGTGTCTTCATGCCAAGTCCTCTAGACTTGGGCTTCTGAAATCTAAAAGTACATGTGATTCTCCTCAGCATCTTGTTATAATGCGGGTTCTTTTTAATAGATCCAAGGGTCTCCTTCACATTTCTAAACGTTCCCAGGACCACGCTTTGAGTAAGTGAAGCTAGAAAGCAGGACATTCTCCCTCTGTTGCCTGATGCCCTCAGTACTGTGAGCCTGACTGAAGCCAGACAGAGCTGGCACTTGCCTCACCGGGTCTTCTCGCTTGTCACCCTTCTCCTGCCAGTGACGCCTCCTCATGCACAGAAGTAGGTTTCCAGAAAGAAGAAACCAGGCATGAGGTTGCATATGGCCCTCTACATTTGCAGTTTGTCCTGGGGCCCTGCTAAGGATTGGGGTGATGTCTTAGCAGTGATGCTGTGTGTTTTCCAGGGGCAGCGGATCTCGTGGATGGCCCCACTACCAGGGGCAGAGCTGGTCCAGAGGCCACTGCAGCTTTATCGTTACCTGCTGCGCTGCTGCCAACAGTTGCCGACCAAGGGCATCCGTGAGCATTACAGACATGCTGTAAGGCAGGTAAGGGCAGGGGACACTGAGTGGGGGCAGCATGTGGCAGGGAGTAGGGTGAGGCTTCTTCCAACCAAGAGTCAGAAGTGTAGTATGGGACTGGCCCTTTAGGTAGTAGGAGCCAGCTCTGGTAGGAGCCACAGGAGTGAGTGCCAGTGTGCTCCGTCCTGGAGACAGAGGGTATGACATCCACACCCCAGCTCTGTCAGGGCTCCAGTAAGGCAGCTTAGTGGATCACTGAAATGCAGTGTCGCAAGCAGGCCTACCAACACAGCACAATCTGAATTTATTCATTAGAAGACATTGGGAAAGCTCAAACAGGGACTGTCTACATTGGGCCTCTCAAAAAGCTCATTGACAGGAAGCTCTGGTGGCCTAGTGGCAAGAAGCTGTGCTGCAGTCCTGAAGGTGTGCTGTTCAAATCCACCAGATGCTGTGTTGGAGAAGGAGGGACAATCTCCTCCTGTGCCAGTCAGATCTGATTCAATGGTACACAACAAGCAAACAAATAAACTAAAAAGCTCATTCCATCAATTCAGAATCAACTCATTGCTGACCCTCTAGTGAGTTTTCAGAGGCTGTAAATCACACAGAGGAGACTGGTCATTTTCCTCTCACAGTGCAGCTGGTGGGTTTGAACTGCCAACCTTTAGGTTAGCAGTGCAACTCCTTACCCTTTAGACAATGAGAGCTCCCTTTACCAGACATGTATTCATAAAAAAAATGTCAAAATCAGGAAGCAGAAAGGCAGAGGAAATGTTCAGGATTTAAAAGACGACAGAAACATGATAGGGGTGGTGCTGATTCAGTGGTAAAATTCTTACATTCCATGCTGGAGACCCAGGTTTGAATCCTGACCAGGGTCCCTCATACATAGACAGCCTGTCAATCAGCAGATTATAAGTTATGGTGATGCTGGAGAGGTTTCAGTAGCCCTTCCAGACTAAGAGACTAGGAAGAAAGGCCTAGCAATCTGCTGCCAAAATATTGCCCTGTGGATTCCAACAGTCTGACCCGCTGCTGACGTGGTGGTGGCACAGGACCCTGTTTCATTGTGTTGTGCATGAGTTGTTGTGAGTCACAACATGAGTCTGAGACATGACAGCTAAATGCAGTGGGTGACTGCAGATCAAATTTTGGGACAGGAGGAGGGGAAATGCCATAAAGGACATTATTAGGACAATTCATGAAATTGGAAGATAGGCTGTAGTTTAGACTATATATAGTATTACATCAGTGTTAAATCTCTGAATTTGATTGTCATGGTTATGTAAAAGACTACCCTTGCTGGGAAATGCACTTGAACTTTAAGACTTGAAGACATGATGTCATCAATTTACTCCTGAGTATTTCCAAAATCTGTTAATACACTTGCATATTAAGAGAGAACAAGGAAAAATAAGAAAAAAAAAGAACGAGGAGGAAAATGTGGCAGATGTTAACTCTAGTAGGAAGTTCTTTGTAGTATTTTTGTAATTTTCTGTAACTAAGACATTATTTCCAAGTAAAAAGTTAAAAATAGAAATTAATATCAAAATAAAAATAACAGCAGTTGTTGTTGTTGTTAGGTGCTGTTGAATTGACGGTGACTCACAGAAACCCTGTGAACAGCAGACCTGAACTCTGCCCTCCCTGGTGCCATCCTCACAAGCTCTGATATGCTCATGCCCATTGTTACGGTCACTGTGTCAGTCCATCTTGTTAAGGCACGCCCTCTCTTTCTCTGACTCTTTCTTTACCTAATAGCGGAAGGCAGTGGAAACATGGAGAAAGGGGCAGTTAACTGTCTGGGGGAGTCAGGAGGGCTTCTTGGAAGTGACACCTGAGCCCAAGGAGGAAGAGATGGTGGGGTTAGGAGTGACAGGGAGGGGAGGGGAGCCACAGTTCTGTGTGAGGGCCTTGTTCCTGAATATCATGTGCTTCTCAAGGGTAAAAGCAAACTAAAACCTCTGTTCCATGTGGGACCTCCCTGACACCGCCAAAGCCACTGTTTCTGCCTCACCTCCCTTCCCTGCTTTGCCATGAGAAGTCTCCCCCTGCTATAAAGCCAATGCACAGAAACCACCCTGCTGAAAACTGCTTTCATGAGGAACAAACTGGGAAGAGAACTAAGTTCCCAATCATCTCTGATGGCTGATGTCCTTGGGGGAGGCTTGAGTGTCGGTAGGAGCCCATGGTGGTACAAACACTCAGTGTACTCAGTTATTAGCCAAGAAGCTAGAAGTTTGGGTCTGCTCAGAGATGCCCTGGAAGAAAGGCCTGGCAATCACCTTTTGAAAACCCACTCACTGAAAACCCTATGCAACACTGACACATGAAGTTGCTGTGAGTTGGAATCTACTCAACAGCAACTGTGGGGTTTTTGGTGCCAGATTTCCTTGTTACAGTTGCAACTAGGAGGATGGGTTTAGAAGTCATTTAGGCAAGGATTCAAGCTGACCCTGCTTAGCAGCAAGTTACGATTTCTGAGCCTCCTGCATCGCCAAGTGGAATAATCATAGCTGTGTCTGGAGGGCTAGGAGCTGCTGAGTGTCAAATGCCTTGCAGGGGCCCTGGTACCACAGGTCCTGTGAAGATGCCTAGTTACCTTTATGCTTCAACTTCCAGAGTTTCCAGTCGCATGCAGATGAAGATGATCCAGAGAGAATCCAGCAGATTATTAAGAGAGCCATTGAAGACGCTGACTGGGTCATGAACAAAGTGAGTGCCTGGCTCCCATCACCACTGGGAAGTTGATGGCTTTAATCTCAATGGCCACCAGGGGTTGCCCTTGCCCTGCGGTTGAAAGTCTTTCAGTTGAGCTTGTCTGACGTTTTCTCCTGTTTGAGATTTTGTGTTTTGGCCGTGAGTGCTGAGCCAGAAAGATACAGCAATACCTTGCTCAGTTGTAGTTCTTTTCTGTAAGAGGTTGGAGGTTCCCTCAATCTCCGAAGGTAAATTACTACCTAACAGTTCTGAATGAATTGAGATGAGGCTGCAGGAAGAAGATGGTGAGCAGCCTCCCTGGAAGGAAACATGCCCAGTCTGGCAGCAGCACTGTGATTTGGGTCAGAAGGGAAACACAGACCTGAGAGGGAGTGAGCTCCCTGTGCCTGGGATTATTCAAATGGAGTCAGGGTTCCTGAGGTTGATTCAAGTATCTGTGTTGGTGGAAAAAGGGAACTGGGAATAAGATAAACTTCTTGTAGTCAAGAGACAGACTCTGGCTCACGATAACCCCCTGCATTTCAGAGTAGAAGTGTGCTCTGGAGGATTTTCAGTGGCTGATGCTTTGGGAAGTAGATTGCCAGGCCTTTCTTCTGAGGCCCCTCTGAGGGGACTGAAAACCTTCTGGTTAGCGGCTGAGCATGTTAACTGTTTACACCACCTAGGAACATATATCAGAATCCTGATTGTTAATCTCAAAATCTAGAACGTGCTTTTTCTCCCCCCGAATCTACGATGTGGGGTCCAGGATTCGTTTCTTTTCAATGCTCAGTGATTGGGCCAGAGGGCCTCTAAAGAAATCTTCTATCTGGGATCACCACCTTTTTCCCTAATAAGACACAAACTGAAGACTTGACAATTTTCAATCCCAACACCCCTGGTCTCTTTCTCCTCCCACTCTCATCCCATCAGCTTCCTTTTCCATTAGAGAAGAAGCGGGTCCAGGTGCTAACCAGAGCCTGGGGGTGTGGTCTGAGTGCCTGCTGAGTGGGCTTCACTGCCTCCTGGCAGCCCCCACAGGATAGCAGCTGAGCCCTAGGAATCCAAAGGTCTCAGGATTTTCCCACAGTCCTCCCTTCCCTGTGGACATCCTTCATCTACTTCTAACAATTTTTCTGTTACAGTATAAAAAACAAAACTGAGATGGCGTGAAGCTGTCCCGAAGATCTCTGAAGCCAAGAGGCCCTGTGGTTCCTGGGATTAAGTGGCGGCAGCAGTTTTACCCACCAGCAGAGACACCAGGAAGTCTGTGAGGGAGACCCTGGCCTTGGCACAGATGGCGCTCCTCACCTTGTTCCTGACGCCAGGCACCGCTTACGACCTGAGCTTTGGGGAGAACGTGGCTTTCTTGTTCTTTGTCTTTTGTTTTTTTGTATGTCTGTCTGTCTTTTTTTACTTTGCCCTGAGATTAATTCATTTATTCTGGCAATACCTCAACCATTCTTGGCAACCAGGGGTGGCCAGGCAGTTGGATGGCAGCCTGAACAGGGGCCAGATGACTGGTTCTAGAACCAGGCAGAAATGTCTCTGAATTCCAGCTTAGCTGCTTTGAAGGGTTTCCAGGCTCACTTCATCCTATGTAAAATGACAGTTCTGGAATTGCTGGGAAGAGTTTGGTAAGAATAAGTCAAAGGGCCTAACATGAGATATAATACATGATTGTAGATTTTCCCACCTTGCTCCCTCCCCTGCTTCTAGAATGGTCTGGACATCTCTGTTCTAGCACATGCTTTATCGGATCTTTGTTACCTGTGCGTTGACTTGGACCTCCATGTGGAGAAGGACTGCTGTCTTTCCCCTCTTTGTACAAGCAGAACACTCACAGTGTGTCCAGCTTCTGGCCATGTGAGTGCTCTTCTGGGGCCTCTATATCATCCGTCCTGGGAAATAGATGCCTTGTCCTTGCCTTCAGGGCATTGAAAATAAGTGAAGTGGTGAGATGTGCATAAAATGAAGTCATCTGACTGCCACAGACACTGACTGAGAACAGGCATTGAGAATCAGAACCCTGTTTTTTGTAGCTCTTCCTGCTTTGCCGTTGTCTTGGAAGGCAGGAGGGAGGTGGGAGGGGCCCAGGAGGCTTGACCACAAGAGTCTTAGCCGGAAGGTGTCTAGGCTGTGGTTGTGGATGTTCTAGCCCATAAGGACTCTACAGGGGTTCTTAGCCCTCAGCCATGGTTCTGTCATTAGGGCTCCTTCCTAGCAGAGACTGAAGGAATCATAAAGGGTATGGGGTCTCTTCCATAGGTAGAGTGGGTGGAAGTACCAAAAGATAGAAGAGAAGCCATGCTGGGGTTCGGTGTTCCCCAAGGTGACTCAGCTAGAAAGAGTTGAGTTTGTGTTTGTGTCTTGTCCTTGTGATTATATGACTTCAGGCGACCTGTCTGTACCCACCTGACAAGCAGATAATGAAATAAATGTATCAAGTTGTCAACTCTTGGGTCTCTTCTCAAGTGATGTGTTTAGTCACTCTCCAAACAAGTTATGGCCCTAGTGTGTGCTGGGATCTTTGAGTGGTGCAAACAGTTAAGCATTTGACCCTTTAATCAGAAGGTTGTCAGTTGGAACCTACCCAGGGGCACTTCAGAAGAAAGACCTTGAAATCTATATAAAAAAAAAAATTGGCCCTTGATAAACCTGTGGCGCACAGCTGTGCTCTGACAGGATGGGGTTGCCAAGGATCGGCATAGACTTGATGGTAATTGTTTTGTAAATTATGGGTCAACATCATCCATTATTCTGAGGGTGAAAGGTGAGACTTGACACTGTCCTGGTGGGGGTGGCTGCTGCTTTGAAGGGTGAATTTTTGAGAGGTGGACCCTCCCCCCCCATAATGATGAGGTCAGGTTTGGCCCACGAAGGTGTAGGTGAAGTGAGGAGCTTCAGTGTAGACTCAGAATAGAAACATCCCCATCTCTGCTTCTGTCGCTCAGTCCCTCTAACATCAGGCCCCCATAGTCGTTGGCAGGGGCATATCTTGATCACAGGAGTGGGATTGGTTGCGTCCCAGTTTTTTCACCAGCAGGAGAGGTGAAATCAAAGGTCAGTCAGGGTTTGGGGGAACGTTAGTGCCTCTGACCTTGGACTGGCCTCACCTTGAGTTCACTGCTAGGTCTTTGATCAGTTTGCTGACTCTCCTGGAAGTGGCTGCCCAGCGCCGCTGTGAGGCTCTCAGGGGACCTGACTGTGTGGGTCAAGCACTGCCTTTGAACGTGTGGACTGTATGTATGTTGACTGCTCTCCCACCAGCCCCTGAGATGCTGAAGGAGACAGCGAACATGATTACCTGAGGGGCTGCCGTCGTACATACAGATGGAGGCAGGAGAAACAGCAGTGGCAGGTAGGTGATCAGTGTTGGGGGCGGGCACTGTGTGAAGTCTGGGAGAGGTTCCTCCATCCTCACAGCATCTTTTCCAGCTCACATGAGCAGGTTGCATGTTCATGTGGGGTTTAGCTCTTAGAGGCACACAGTTGATATTTCACGAGTAATGTCTAACTAAAAGGAAGAAGGGGCCAGAGACTTGTGGACCCAGAGTCAGGCAGTTCGCCCTGGAGGCAGGAACTCTGAAGTCAGACAGACCTGAGCGTAAATCCCAGCCCCGCCCCATAGTGACGCCATAACTTTGGGTAAGTTTGAGAATGGACCAGCCTCACCCTTCTCACCTGCTTACTGGCACCCAGGGCATGTGCCATCCCTGTCATACCCTTGGCATGCCGCTGGCCCTTCCTTTTCTTTCTGGCGTCCATCCTTCAGGCACATCCCTGGCCGGAAAGGAGCTGGTAGCTGCTGTCTCCATCTTGGCTGACCTGCATTTGCATGCCTCCTTGGGATGTATTACAAAGACTCCATATCGGTGCAAGGACAGCCAGCTGGTGTTGAAGGAGTTTCAGGCTTCCTTTGACAGGTCTTGTCACTTCTGGAGGTTTATCCCCAGGAACTAGGAAAGTGGCAGGGGGTTCTGGTGGCACTGTGGTTAAGGCATTTGGCTGCTAACCAGCAGAGTCTCAATAAGGGTCACTATGAGTCAAAATCGACTCAGTGGCTGTGGGATTTTTTGTTTGTGTTTGTTTTACCTTTGGTTGTAGAAGTGGCAGGAGGCCTTGAATGACCCAAATGGCTACCTGTGTGGCTTGTTAGTTACCATAGAGTGAGTACCAGTTCAGTGACCCTATGGACAGTAGAAGAGAGAGTTCAGGTGGTTTACTAGTAAGGAATTGTGCTACCAATGCAAATATACGTGGTTCGAATCCATCAGCTGCACAATTGAATTCACCGTCTCCTCCCTTTTCATTTAGTGCCTTCATTTACTGCCTCTGAAAACCTGCTAGAAGGTCAATCTCTCTTATATTACTGACCCTGGGCCTTACCAAGCATGATGTCTTCCTTCAGGAACGAGTCTCTGCTGATAATAAAGTCCCTGAGACAATCTCACCATCCTCGCTTCTCAGAAGCATTCTGACAGTACTGCCTAGGACAGATCTGTTCATTCTTCTGGCAGCCCGTGGTATATTTCATATTCTTCCTCAATGCCATAATTCAAAGTCATGAATTGAATTTTAGTCCTTCTCATTTATTGTCTAGGTTTTGCATACATATGAATGCAAAGCTACCGACCAGATTAACCAGGTTAACCAGGAAGTTCGTCACACGTACTTTGAACATGTTATCAAGAAGGACTGGTCCCTGGAGGAAGAAACCATGCTTGGTAAAGTTTGCCTGGTCTGAGGGAAAAGAGTGAGACTCCGTGAGATGGACTGGCATAGTGCCTGCCACAATGCGTTCAAACACGGCGATGATTCTGAGGATGACGCGGAATGGGCAGTGTTTTATTCTATTGTACATAGGGTGTCTATGAGGAGGAACCCATTTGATGGCACCTCCTTGGACAAAGACCTCATGATGAGAGAGGTAGGTGGAGGGTCAGAGAAAGACCCTCAACAGGATGGACTGCAGCAATGGCTTGAGCATATCAGCAATTATGAAGATGGTGCAGGACGGGATGTGGTTCAGAACTATTGTTTGTACATAGGATAGCTACGAGTGGTGGTCAGTCCTACAGCACCTACCTACCAACAAGGGCATAGCAAGCAGCAAGATGACAGGTCAAACCTACCAGGAGAGACGTCTACCTCCAGAGGGTCATAGCTGTGCAAATCTGTGGCAGGGAGCTGTACTTGGCAACATATGGGGCCGCCATGAATTGGAAGCAGCTCAGTAGCAACCAGTTTGGGTTTTTAGTTTGGTTTGGTGTGGAAGTGGCAATACTCTTTTGGGTCCTGCCACCAGTGGTTTCTCCTTAGGGCAGAGCCTGCCCTGCTCGCTCCCAATAGTCTCACGTCCCTCTTCTGTAACCCCGTGTTAAGCAGGTGGGGACTCAGGTGGGGACTCACAGTCCACCAGAAGACAGAGAGTCATTGTAACAAAGTGCCACAAAAAGGATGGCTTAAACCAGTAAAAATGTATTGTCTCCTTGTACTGGAGGCTAAAAGTCCAAATTAAAACTTGTCATTTTTGTAGGCAAGAAGGTTGGCTGAAAGGTGGAACAACGTGGCTCAGAGGATGTTCTTGTAAAGTAAATTTACTTTTTTTTCACCTCCCACTCTCCTTTATGGGGGAGCTCTAGTGGCTTAATGGTAAGGAGTTGCGTTGCCAGCTCAAAGGTATGTGGTTCGGATACACCAGCTGCTCCATGGGAGAAGGATGGGCATTCTCCTCCCATGCAGTTTACAGCTTCTTAAAACCCACTGGAAGATTAGCTATGAGTTGGCTCCAACTCGATGGTAAATAACAACAATAACAGCATGCCGTTATGAGTCGTACGATTCTGAGTCATACTCAATTTGATGGCACATACACACACAAAAGAACAACACACCTTCACATTTTTCCTCTAAGTATTAGTGATAGGTATCAACATTTTCTGATTCTGTATTTCCTCTTAAATCATACAACCTTTTATTCATAAAGTAAAATGTTCTGTCTCATGCAAAAAAGAAAATTTCAAAACTTGAATTAACGTCGTGGTTTCTCTCTCTTCCAGCCGAAAGCTGTTGAATGTGGGGCACCTATAAGCAGAGAAGGGGGACACAGATCATCTCTGCTGGATGAGGATGGAGATAAGAGTACAGGGCCATTCAAAGT